CAGCTATGTACACCGAAGACTCTGCATCAAACTCAGAAATATTACTGGGCGGTTGGACGAGGATGCTGTAGGAAGTATAGCCTTTCGGGATTGATGCACTGCAACAGCCAATTCCAGAGCACTCATTGCGCACTGCAACAGCCAATTCCCAGGGGCTGGTGGACAGTAAGTGGCACAGGCATTTACAATGCTGCCGTCCTCTCCAAGGAGGACTTGGATGTTGTGGCAAGACAGCACCAGGAACCTGTTCTTATCTGGAGAGACAAAGAACGGGCCACCCTTTCTGAGGCCAATCTATCCATGTGTGGTACTACCTCCCTGTCTTGTTCGTCATGTCATCTGTAGCAGCATTAGGAACCGACGATAGCACGATGCCTCTGCTGTTGTGGCGCACCGCGCCACTGGGAATGGATATCCCAACTCCCAAGGACCTCCACCGTGCCATCGCCGAGGAATAGCTTGGGTGGATTATGCGAGTGATCACAACTGAGGTTGAAGCCAAGATGGTAGCAGCCAGGCTCAATTCCAAAGGGGTAGGAGATGCTGATATTGCCACAGTGAGTGCTGCAATTAGCTATTTCTTGCCCCACTTCACCTGCATGCAGCAGCTGACTGCTGCACCCACAGCCACCATAAATACAACTCTCCTACTCTCCTACTCGCTGAGACTATCTCCAACAACAACACCCAAAATACAAGACCCACTCGTCCTTTGGGTAGCGCTACAGGCAAAAGGTTCAATACATATTCGGCATCTTCTCCAACAACAAGACTCCAAAAGAAAATCCTTTCTGCAAATGAGTTTCTAGGAGAGAGGATGTCCATATTTGGATTGTGCCTCTCAGACAACCCAAAATAGGTCTCCCGTATAGGTACTCTATTGGAGATTGATTTTGGGTCTCTTTCTACCCATTTTGGGTTTGGGTGCCCATAAGGGTTCCTTGTTGGACACAGTTTAACTTCTCCATACATCCAACTGCTGAGATATTCATAAACTGATTCTGATGAACTGATGATCATGAATTTCCTATGATCTCCATTCTCCAAGCTATCAAACATTACTCATTTCTTGCCAAGTATATGCCCTACCCACCGTGTGAAATTTACATGGAATTGGGAAAACATCGACATGGCTACATTGACTTGGCCTGGCATGGAAATTTGTGTTCTACTGACCACCCACAAAACTTTAGAATACTACCTTCTCTCCGGAGAGGAAGACAGCCCATGTCTCATCCATTTGGTACTGTAACGGAGCAGCACCGCGGCCTCCATCGGCTCTCCGGCGAGGCCGCCGTCGCCGGGGCAAAAGGCTGACTGATTGGGGAATGGGGACTGCACGGATGAGATAGACGGAAGGACTATTTTGCAAATAATCAGGATTGTTAAAAAAATGAGAGGCTCGTGAGCTGGTGACGCAGGGTGTTCGTCCATTCCGGCCCATAGGCTCCTGAGCTGCTCTACATTCTGGGCCCTGGCTTGGCGGTTTGCACCTCTCGTGGCCCGTCCTGGCCACCGACGCCACGCAGTTCTCGCCTAACGGTCTCGTGCCCTCACCAGTCACCACCGTTCGCCGTTCGCCCCATTATAGAGAAGTTGTTATTTTAAATAACTTCATAAATTTTGACTGAAACATTATATCATATTAATATTGGTAATTTAATTTTAATCACTTTATCATATATAAAACAATACTACACATATATAATCCTGTGACATAACAAATTTAACATGTTCAGTACCTACGTGCAAGCTGAGTTACAACTTAACACGTGGAAAACAATATTATTAGAATCTAAACTCCTTTTAATAATTAAAATTGAATAAAAGATAAAATAATGCTAGAGTTTCTACTTAACATTTAAAAAAAGTTATAACAACTTGATTTAAAGTTAAAAGGTAATAAGCTATAGATTCATGAAGTCACAAAAAAAAAGATGCAGCAAGAGTTTGTATATAAATACTAGAAGTTCTAAATAAAGCTGCCTAAGGCTATCTCCAACAACAACTAAAATACAAGACTCATTCGTCCTTTGGGTAGCACTACAGGCAAAAGGTTCAATACATATTCGGCATCTTCTCCAACAACAAGACCCAAAAGAGAATCCTTTCTGCAAATAGGTTTTTAGGAGAGAGGATGTCCATATTTGGGTTGTGCCTCTCAGGCAACCCAAAATAGGTCTCCCGTATAGGTACTCTGTTGGAGGCTGATTTTGGATCTCTTGCTACCCATTTTGGGTTTTGGTGCCCATATGGGTAACTCGTTGGAGACAGTCTAATGGAGCATCAACATTAATCCTCATGAGACACGATAAGAAAAACAAAAGATAGATCTTAGAAATTTCACAAAAAATTGAAACATTTGACCATCAGTTTGATATAATAATAACTTAATCACCATTTATAATATAGCTATTGTATATATTCTATTTTCTAAATATAACATAAAGTAACACATGACTCTAAAATCATGATCAACCTAGCACTAGAAGTTCTCATGATTAAGATCAAGTTCAGCAAGCACAAGATCAACAAGTGGCTAGTCCAATTCAAGCGATTCAACCAAGTTATCACCAAGCTCAAGCAATCAAGTGCAAATTGTCCAACCGGATATCCATCCAGCAATTGCAATGGACTATCTATTGGATCAAATTGTTGGTGATTTAAGAAGTGGTGTTCAAACAAGATCAAGGCTTGTATCCTTTTGTGAGCACTATTCATTTGTGTCTCCCAGTGAACCAACCAAGATCGATGAAACTTTGAAGGATGTTGATTGGGTCAATGCTATGCATGAAGAGCTCAACAATTTCACAAGAAATCAAGTTTGGGAGCTAGTTGAGAGGCGAAAGAACTACAATGTCATTGATACCAAATGGGTATTTAGAAACAAGCAAAATCAAGATAGCATTATCGTGAGGAACAAAGAAAGATTAGTGGCTCATGCTACACATAGTGCTTAAAGAATCACTCGGTGATTAGTGTAGGTGCTTTGCGAAGTGCTTAGGCTAGTTAGACCATGGCTAAAAGCGCTTGCTCTTGGTTTAGGCCTAGTGTTAGTGAGGTTTGCATACGTCTTGCTTACTCAGTGTTGCGTGCACCATTGTTATGCTCGAAGGGACCTATAGTCCTGACAGACTTACACCAACCGCGTTTGTGGTGTGGTCGTCATCGTGTATATATAGAAGGGAACAATGCCCATGACATTTTGTCCAAAAACTTGATAGTGAAGATGACGGGGAGTGGTTCGTGGAGAGGCCATCTTGGAGATCCACTTGCGCATGGGGAAGGCCCAAGGGCTATCCATGGAGTTACCTGACCAGGAGCTTGGCCCCTACGAGGGCATCCTTGCGAGGGGCTCCAACGAGGACTAAGTGGAAGCGAAGAGCCTCTTGATACCTAGGTAAAAATACAAGAGTCGTCGATGTGAGTTTGCACTCTACCACCCTTAAGCTTCTGCGTTTATTTTATGTACTTAGGATTGTGTGCTTTACCTTACTAGATTAATTTGATAGGCTAGTTCATAGGATTGTAGCCTAGGTTGCATAACTCTTTTGCGCTAGAGATAGCAACACACCTAGGAAATTAGATGCCATAGTTTTAGAAGTATATTTTAAGTTGCCTAATTCACACTCCCTTGGTCTTAGGCGTCATGGTCCCTTCAATATGGGTCCGTTGGTCCTGTTTAACATGTCTACTACAAAGCTAGACTAAAAACGTTAAATAGATAGATAACAAAGAAGTTTGCCATCTACCTAGACTAGGCAGAATGACCGAATACAATTCAGAGTCTAGGAGCCACCCAATAAAGCACTAGAAATTTGATGATTCAAAACAAAAAAGCAATTGTAAGGGTAAAGGAAAAGATAACTTTGGGTTGCCTTCCGGTAGGTGTTTGAAAGAAAAAGAAAACAGACAAACTCGGTTCGAAACTAGTACAACTATTCCCTAGCAATAGCACAAGAAAGCTTGTTGGTAATCTTAACAACCGCAGATAAATCTGCAAGCGTACGGATACCACTGTAGCTTTGACCCTAGAGTATTCCAAGGTATCGAATCCACAGGGAACGTGTGTGTACTAGTTAAGAATCAAGAACGACCAAAGAAGGGATAGGGGATACAAGTGTAGAGGGAAGAGAGGGTCATTCTAAGGGTTCTAGATCACTGCTAGATTGTTCGAGCTTTACTATAACGCTTGCTTTGGTGACACAGATCCAACAAGAGAGTGCTATGCTCTCCCTCGTTTTTCGATAGTGACATGAAACCACTCATCGCAATGGGCAATGGACAACGATCATGGACGAAGGTGATTGTGGAAATATGAGTTACCACGGTTTTAGATAACTCAGATAACAAAATATTGATGCGTCTACCTTCATTTTAGTTTCACTTTCTCCATTAGACAAATGGATCTGTGTCACCGGAGATCCTTGAAGTAAGGTTACCTCTTGTATTAACTTATTTAGGTCCTCCCCCCCCCCCCACCATGTTTTAAATCATGATGAGAAAAATGGGCAAGTGGCCTGTCGTCCAGGCAAGTTAAATTTCTTTCCGACATTTTAGATTATTCTTGTCGATGCCAACTTTTAACGATCCAAACTATGATTGTACATTGTTTTTTGTCATCTGCACAAAAAAGTAGTAGAGTTTGGAAACAATTCTATTATCTAAAAATAATATAAGATACACAGAAACATGAATACATAGAACAATTAGGTTGCATCATCTTGAGAATGCAGAGACAAACCCAAAATTCTTCATTGAACAAGGAAACATGCAAAATAGAAAAAAGAACTCATGTTCAGCTTGCAAAAACAAGCACGAAAAATAAGCTTTACATTATTTATAAATGTCAATATGCGGGACTAAAGTAAACTGATGTATTTCATCAATTATTTATGGGAACAAATGGAAGTGACACTTGTTTGTCGTCTCGCTATGCTATGAAACAATAGATAAATGAGTACATGAATTGTGCACTTGTTCAATACAGCGATAAAAATTCACCGGGGAAAGCTCGCTGATAACAACATTTCCTCCTCCATGGTGTATTGCCTGCTAGCTTCCTTAGTTCCTCGGTCAGTTGACATGTAAGGACCGGCAGTTTCCCCACTATTTGTTTGTCGTGTTCCATTATATTGAACCTGCTTCTTCTTAACGAGCAAGCATTCAAGGGCCATCTCCACTTCCCTCATTGTAGGCCTGTCTTCTCCCTTCAATTTTGTGCACATTGCTGCTAGTGTGGCTACTTCTTCGATTTCTCCACCTTCCTCCGCCATGACTTGAGGATCTAATATGTCAACCAGTTTGCCTTCTGCTAGCAGCGAAACAAAATGTGAAACAAGACCATCATCATCAACTGACCTATACACATATGGTCTCTTTCGAGTAAGCAATTCTACAAGAAGAACACCAAAACTGAAAACATCACTCTTGTCTGTTAATCGTCCATTGTAATAATACATTGGATCCAAGTAACCCATTGTTCCTTGAACTGCTGTAGTCACTCCTGTCTGATCTATTGGGATATATCTAGAAGCTCCAAAATCTGAAACCTTTGCAGTTAAAGCATCATCAAGAAGTACGTTGGATGACTTAATATCTCTGTGAAATATGGGCATTGAAGCAGATGCATGCAGATAGGATATCGCTTTGGCAACCTCGGCTGCTATCCTCATCCGATCGTGCCATGGTAGTGACACTGGTCCTTCAACATGAAGATGATGACAGAGGGTTCCATTTGAAATGAACTCATAAACTAGCAATGGGACTTCTGTCTCAAGGCAACACCCTAAGAGCTTCACCACGTTTCTATGGTTCACTTGAGAAAGAACGACAACTTCATTTATGAATTCATTGATTTCTCGTTGAACTACTATCTTTGACTTCTTGATTGCCACAACATGTAGATCTAGAATTCCTTTAAACACGACACCATGCCCTCCACCACCAATGATGCGAGCTCTATCAAAATTATTTGTTGCCTTCTCTATATCACGTAAGGTAATTATCATTCTCTCACCAATGTCTGTGCTTCGTGATATTAACTGTTGCAATAGCAGCCCATGATTTTGCTTGAAAAATCTTTGTTTCATCTTCTTTACCTTTTGAAGCTTGATTTTACGCATTATGTAGGGAGCACCAAGGGCTAGAAGCAAAAGACTTGTTCCACCACCGATTCCCAATCCGATGCTTAAACCTAAGAAAATATTTAATGACACGACACATTCAGGATTCGGAGTAACAAAATATATCAAGATGAAAAATATTAATTCTGTGAGTGAAATCGGAAAGTTTAAGCTTGCATTGCATATAGCGGCTGCTTAGTACCTGTAAATGAGTTATTGAATGTAATGCATCCCCCTTTTGTAGAAGAATTTCCATAGGTTCCATCTGGACACTGGCAATGAAAAGTTCCAGGGAAATTTTGGCATATCCCGTAGCATGAGTATGCTTCCAGGTGCTTGCACTCGTCAATGTCTAGGAAATTTAGAGCAGATGGATTTTGTTTTAAGGTCTTGTTATAGTGTCCAATATGTATATAGCGAGCCTTGTAATAACTCTAGAGCAAGTAGTCGTAAGTTATAACCAAATGTATTCAGGATTTCCATCTTATTATACCTGTGCATGCATTTGGGATGGAAGCATTGCCTGTATAGCCAGTGTTGCATTGGCAAATAAAACTTCCAGGTGTATTCTTGCAAACACCATAGCAAACATATTGGTCGGGATATTTGCACTCGTCTATATCTATAGCCAAAAAATAAGGTATGTGTTAGGAGCACCAAAGGATGTATGCAAATTCAGGCTGAGAAAATATAATTAAAAAAGATTGATTCACTACGTAGTGTACCTTGACATCCACCTTGAACAAAAGGATTACCCTGATAACCATCTGCGCATTGACATGTATACCCACCATGGCCCAAGGAAGAGGAATTTTGGCAATAGCTGTGGTTACTGAGACATTCTGGGGCGGTCATATTTGTAGGACATGTCGAAGTACTAATTATCCAGTCTAGTGTAGCCGTAGTAAGCGATCCAGGAATTCGGTCTCCATTCGAATTGATACTGATAAAGTAACTCTGGTCGACTATGAATACCGAAGTAGGACGGTTCCAGCCCGAGGCAGAAGAAACCGGCCGGTCAATCTGGATTCTGTAGGAAGAGTAGCCTACAACGATGCTGGCCTGACAGCAACCAATGCCAGTGCAGCTGCCATTTCCTATCGTACCGCTACAGCCATCGTCGGACAAAATAACGGGGCAGATAGCAGTGCAAGAACTCACCAGGCTGACTTTCCGTCCCCCTCGGATGCTGACCTGGATGCTGCACCCTGTCGCCACGAGCATGCTAGCTGACTCCGACAGGAAGTACGGTCCGGTCTCTGGGAGCCCGAGGCCCCATGTCCCGCCGGTGCTGATGCCATCATACTGCAACTGCACGCCGGGGCTGTAGATGCGCACCGTGCTGTGTTCAACAGAGATGTCCAGCACCTGCACGGTGCCGTCGCCGAGGAACAGCTTGGGTGGCTGACGGTGGGAGTGCTGCTGCTTGCAGCTGAGGTTGAAGCCGGTGTCGTGGTAGCAGCCGAGCTCGATGCCGAATGGGTAAGGGATGCTGATGTTGCCGCACCTCCTTGTGCAGTTACTGCCCAGACCAGTGGCTGTTGCTGCAGTTGCAGCAAGTGCGGCGCCGCCGCCAGCAAATGGCGGGAGCAGCAGCAGCAGCGTCGCGACTACAGCAGCAAGTGCTACAACTGTTTTAGTCGCCGCTACTACATTCGTCTTCATGTGTGCCTTGCGTATAAGGAACTAACCGTAAGCAAAGAACAACAATGGCCTCTTATCTTCTTCTTCTTCTTGTTTTTTTTAAGCACTACCCATTTCGTCCTCGTCAGTTACGTTCCTCACCATAAATAGGGCATGCCATACACAGTTTCTGCAGTGAAATTAAATTAAGTAGCACGACGCCACGGAGGAAGACGGGGGGCCGTGCCGTTCGCATCGCTGAAAAAAAAGCTGAAATAATATTCCGGTTGATTTGTTACGAGAAAAAATACTGTTTCGACTGAAAAAATAAGTTGAAAATACAGATTATAAAAGAAACGAACATGGCCGAACTAAGTTATGGGCCTGTTTGAATCCTTGAAATTGAATTTATTCTGATAATTATAATTTATGCATAGATTAATTAAGCTAATATAGTTATATATGAAATATATTTGTATATTTATTATTAGGTATACAAGGGACATACTTATATGTTGTATTTCTACTGTAGAGGAGTGAGTTGAAGAGTGTGTTATAAGTTAGAGAATAAAATTATAGCGTAGTGATCTATAGAATCTATTTCATCTCTCACGCTATAAATTTGAGATAGATTTATTTATGAGCTTAAGAATATTATGGAATATTAAATTCCAAACCAAATAACCTAATTCATTGTGTAAATTTCAATTTGTCCAGGGTCTTGTTTAGATTGGGGTTAGAAATCAGTATTTGGCACTATAGCACTTTCGTTTGTATTTGACAATTATTGTCCAATCATGACTTAACTAGGCTCAAAAGATTCGTCTCGTAATTTACAATCAAACTGTATAATTAGTTATTTTTTATCTATATTTAATACTTCATACATGTATCAAAGATTTAATGTGATGGAAAAATAACGAAAAAACTTGCAATCTAAACGAGGCCCAGGATCCAAACGGCCGGGGCCAATTTCGCCGTCCATAAAGGAAAAACAACACGCGCACGCGGTGACTTGACTTACTGACTGATTTATGGTGGTGCTAACATATTTTTACCATGTTTGTCTCTTCCACTACCAGAGATAGAAGATCAGTAGTGCTCCCAATTGACAGGGACTAGCAAGGCACGAACTAATAATTTCCTGTGATGTCACTTTCATGCAGCAGTGTTATGACTGTTCAACCAATATTTAACTAATCTTTTAAGCTTTAGTATATTCGTTTGGTTGGATTTTGGTTTTGCAGCTCGGTGAGAACAGGTGCAGACTGTCAACTCTTGTACTTCTCAGGTTGTGTTGGCTGTTAACTTATCTCTGTTTTAGTAGAACTCCCACAGTTCAGTCTTTGTTGTTTTTACTGAATGGACTTATGGACGGTAGAATTGTTGAAATGATTTGCATATAGCTTACCGTTTTGCACTTGTTTGCAATAGTGTTGGTGTCGGTACAGAAAATGACAAACACGTAAATATTTGTAGTTTTGCCGTACGTTGTGATCAGATGTGGCTTAACACTCAATGACACAGGGTTTATAATGGTTCAGGCAACGTACCCTACGTCCAGTTTGAGTCGGTCGGTGACTTTATTCCTAAGCCCAGGTACTCGAAGTTTGCAGTGGGGTTACAAATGAGAAGGAGAAATATAGGGTGTATAAGAGGTCTGGTCGGCTCCGGTCAGAAGGGCCGAGAGTGACAGAAGCTCCGCTATGAGCTAAGTGTTCAGGCGTGTGCTTGGAGTTCGAACCTAGCGGTTCTGTGGTTGTGAGCTAGTGAACTAGGTTGATCTATTGAATCTAGGATGACTTGTATGATCTTGAATCCACCGAAGAGAACTGAGTTATGTTGGAGGGGCACATCCCCTTTTATAGATGAAGGGGACGGTCTTACAAGCGAGAGGGAGAGAGTATGTTTGTTTCTAAGCCTTGTAGCCCACGTCGGTGGGTACAAGACGATTGTAGGCGCCCACAATACTGTTGATGTGCATGTCGGAGGTTGCGTCGCCTTCTCCAGGTATGGCAGATGTCGATACCTGCATATACTGTCGGTGCCTAGAGGCACGTGAGGGGTTTCACCATGTTCGCTCGGTACGGTAAATGCCGGCGCCCATAACACTGTTGATGCCCGTGGGGGGCTTTACCGTGTGGGAGTTAATGGCGCCCACAATACTGTAGACGAAAATGTCGGCACCTACAATACTGTTTGTGTTAGGGCGGTTGCAGAGTACTGTTCCTGCAGGTGTACAGGGTATGGTCCTGGTACCGTGGTTTGACTTGTGTGCCATGTCTTGCTTTCTCCGCTCGTTCCTGGGTCCTTTCCGAGCGGGCGTCCCCGGTCGGTTGGTTCCAGTTGGCTCTGATTGTTTCCGTTGGAGAAGAACAGTGAGCAGGTGCTTGGCGTATCCCCGGTCGGAGAGTGCGGGGTCAGAGATGGAAGCGGTGCTTTTGGCCAGGCCTTCCGTTCGGAGAGGCCGTCCGGAGGCGGGCTGGAGACCGAAGCGAGCGCTCCGGTCGGAGAGGTGGGCCGGAGTCAGTAACCGGGCACTGTTTTCCCTCGGCCTGGTCTTTCGGTCGGAGAGATTGGATCACTCCTTCGGCCTGTTGCTCAGGTATTCGGGCCAGCCCACTAGCTGCGCGCTGTCTGCTTGGGCAGAGCCTTTGCGGGGAAGCTGGTCCACGAGGGACCCCGGGTTCATGAACCCGACAGGAGCCCTCGAGCCCCCCGGTGATTCGGACGGAATCGTCTGGGGTTTTTTTGTCTTGACAGCGGGTGCGCACGAGCGCACCGCGGGTGTAGCCCCCGAGCCCCCGGGCGGTTCGGGCAGAACCGTCTGGGGGGTTTTTCCGTGTTGCCAGCGTGGGAGGTTTTTGTTTCGTCGGCGGGTGCGCGCGAGCGCACCCGCGGGTGTAGCCCCTGAGCCCCTAGGCGGTTTCGAGCAGGACCGTCTGGGGGGTGTTTAGTGGGCGTGTGGGCGTGTTTTTTAGTTGAAATGGAGTCGTTTAGCCACGGCGTCGCTGTGCAGCCGAGGCGGTTTGTTTTTAGGGATCGGACGATACGAAGCTTGCGGATCCTGGCGTGGGTGCGCGCCGTGGGATCAGGCGAGTTGAGTTGTCAACCAAGGCGTCATTGCGCGGCTGAGGTGGTTAGTTCGGGGATCGGACGAGACGAAGCTCATGGATCCTGGCGTCGATGCGCACTGTGGGATCGGATGAGGCAGTTAGTCAAGGGATCGGATGAGACGGAGCTCACTGATCCTAGCGTCGATGCGCGCTGTGGGATCGATCGAGTCAGAGTCGTGGATCCTGATGGGGCGAGTTTGGGGTCGCAGACCCAGGTGGTTTTTGGAGTGCAGGCGAAGTGTAGCCGGATGGGGCGAGATCGGGGTCGTAGACTCAGGTAGTTTTTGGAGTGTAGGCGAAGCGTAGCCGGATGGGGCGAGATCGTGGTCGTAGACCCAGGTGCTTTTTGGAGCGCAGTCGGAGCGTAGCCGGATGGGGCGAGATCGGGGTCGCAGACCCGGGTGTTTGGAGCGTAGTCGGAAGGGACGAGTTCGGGGTCGCAGACCCAGGCTTTTTGTGTCTTGAGCCCCTGAGCCTTGCTGGGCTTTAGTAGGGGTCGGTGTGAGTTGTGTGCGTTACCCCATCCTCGGTTCCTCACAACCGGAGGGGCTAAGTTTTGTCGCTTGTCTCGATCGCTCAGGCTCGAGTGACGTGCTCGGTGAGTTCGCTAACGGGTATGATCGAGCGGAATCCGGGTCCGTCGTTTGTGACGGGGTCGGCATAGCCCTCTTGTGACATTCCACTGCTCCTTTACCTACAACCCGGCAGATGCCTGGGTCGTTCCGGAGACCGACCCGGGTGGCCTAACGGCCTCCCCTCGATGGAGATTCCGTGGGCTTGGCGAGAGGTTCAGGATCGAACGAGAAGGTTGAGATGACCTGGTCTGCCAGACTAGGCGAGGGCCGCACGGGGCTCATCTACGTTTTTCTCCCCTGGCTCTGTTGTTGCTCATGTCGAATGAGGCAACTACCGTTTGGTGACGCAACACGGAGCGTTGTGGTGCATTTCGCTGCACGTGCGATGCTTAGTTCCCGAGCCCCCGGGCGGTTCCGGGCGCGAATCGTCCAGGAGGCACGGGCGTATAGAATGAATGCGCGTATGGATGTATGAAATGATTATAAAGAAATAGAGGGGGTTGGTAGTGTTCACCTTGATGACTTGAGTGACCGGGTTTGGAGAGCTTCAGTCGGAAACGTCCGACCGGGACTCGTGCTCGTCGTTCGTGACGGAGTCGACATGGCCAACATGGGGCATCCCTTCGCTTCCTACCTGTGTCTCGATGTGTCTTTCTGAGCCATTCGATCGACTTAGGAAGCCCGATGGTTTCTCCCAGCAGAGATCCCGTTTTAGGCTTTTTCCCCGCCTAGGGATGCGGAGAGCTGTCTGCGTGTGGTGACGCTTCGGTTTTCATGCTCGGTCAAGCGATAGTGGTGGGCCATACCCAGGCCACGTTTCGTCTCGCCAGGCGGCGTTCCGTCTGACCCGCCGTCATTCTGTCGGTCAGTGCGCGTCCCTTCGGTCAGGGCGTGTCCCATCATTTCCCATCCGCATTGAATGGGGGAAGGGGGAGAGTTTTGCGCTTTGATCTTTTGCCCTTCTTCGGCTGTCGTGTTTCTTCCTTAAATAGGGGGAGGGAGAGGGCTCTCCGTCGTAGTCCTTTGCCTGTTCTCCAACTATTGTCTCTCCTCCTTCTTTCTCATCGAGAGTGCCTGTATGCCACGACGGTTCCTAAGTGAGAGAGGGGGTGAGCGAGGGGGGGGGACTTACAGATCCTTTCATGAACCCGGAGCATGATGTTGAACTGGAGACTACCGTGGACGGTGCTGGATTAATCTGCGAGGCCTTCTTTGGGATGGAGCCGTGTGTGGATTTTCTCTGGTGGATCTTCACCGGGCGAGCTTTGTTGGAGGGGAAGTTGCTCAGGATCGTGCCGATGGAGGGTTCCGTGCCTGCAGCTGCTCAGGTTGGCTAGTTCATAAAGTTTGA